TCGAACCTCGATATATTTAGAGCTAACTTGTTAGTAGTGAATACCATGCCGTATCCAATTTTTCAGTCAGGGTGTGTGGAAAATTTTGTAATGGTGCTTCTTCTAATATATTTGGTTGCAGGGGTGAGAACTTCTAGTGGTTCTGGTCTTTAGCAAAATTGGACTGCAACGAAAGAGGGAGGAAATAAACAAATCGAAAGCTCTTTTACTTTGTTCCTTGTACATTGCCAAATCTTTCCCTTAGTGTAAAACGAGTATGTAGCATATTAGTAGACATGGGTCATTCTCAGCGGCCAAAAAGGAGAGAGTGGCATATTTGTGTTGATTGATGGTGTGGGAGACGTGTCAATACCAAGGTTTGGATTTAAGACTCCTCTTCAGGCAGCCAAAGTACCCAATTTGGACGCCATTGCATCCGCTGGAGTTAACGGCCTGATGGACACTGTCGAAGTTGGTTTGGGTTGTGGAAGCGATACAGCTCACCTTTCTCTGTTGGGTTATGACCCTAGGGTTTATTACCGTGGCCGAGGCGCGTTTGAGTCCATGGGTGCTGGTTTGGCAATGTTGCCTGGTGATATTGCATGTAAGGTGAGGATTTTATTTGTTTCTTTGTAAAATGGTATCGATGTTATAATCGTTTTCACATCATGATCCTGGATGAGCAGTTTCAAAACTTTCAACATTTTCCTTCGGTTCTGTTATTTCTGGAAGACCAGGCTGTTCCCCATAATGCTCATTGCTATTTTGTTGTTCTTTACTCTAATTTTGCAAACTTGGATGAAAAAACTGGAATAGTCATCAGTTGGAGGGCAGACAGACACTTTGAGGAACAAGGACCCATACTGTGTGCAGCACTTGATGGAATGAAGCTGCAGTCTTTTCCCGAATATGAAGTCAGAGTCAGGTGCAAAAGTTTATTATAAATGCTGTAGGCTTCTTGTTTATATGCTTCTATAAATACACTTGCGTTATGCGAAATTGGATTATGTATCTAAATCATCGAAGACCTTAACGCTTTCTAATGCTTATCCTTGAAATTTTTATTATGCAGTAGATTCAGACTGACAAAGAATCATTTGGTACAGGTATGCAACGGAACATAGATGCGGAGTGGTTGCAAAATGACCAAGGCTAAGTGGGAATATATCAGGAACAGACCCATTGAAGGACAACCGTTTACTTTTGCAAGCTGAAGGTCTAGACGGCACTGACGAGTGAAGCAAGGCACACAGCTAAAGTGTTAACGAGTTATCCAAGGAAATATCACGTATTCTCGTTGCTCAGCCACTGAATGCAAAGCGGGCAGCTGAAGGGAAGAACATAGCTGATCTTGTCTATTTACGAGGTTGCGGTATTCGGATTGAGGTTTGTTGTCTCAAACCTCACTTGATTTATCCAAGGAAATATAACCTTGAGCCTAAGAGAGATGCTGGTCTTACAAGACCTCTGTTGAAGAAAAATTAGAGTACACAACTCTAACACAAGTGTTAGAAAGACAAAACAAGTAAACAAACTATTTGTATTACACTCACAAAATATTACAACACACAATCTCAAGGACACACTTTAGAAGTTATGACACTCGCTCACTTTCTAGAGACAAACTTTAGACCACTCACACTCCTACAAGACTACTCTTGCTTCTTACTCTCTTACTTAGCCATCTCTTGATTCTTAGCTCTCTTACTTCTTGATTGGTTGGTTGATACAAATGGTGTGGATGTCTTCTTCTTATATAGGCATGGATGGAACCTTGGAGAAGCATGGAAACATCATGCTAGAGATATCTAGATAATTCCACTACATTCCTAAGCTAGAATTATCTACACTAATCTTGTAAGTTGGTGGAATCCTCACCATTCTTCAAGACTCTTCCACCAACTTGAACTTTGCTAGAATTCTCTAGCATGTGCATGAATCTTTCTTTGTGTATGGGCTGAATCCATTATCTTTGGGCTCTTTGGGCTGGTGTTGTACTTTAACAACCTCAACCCTTATGCTTACGCTTCTAAGTTTACATTTGTGTCCATATTTCTTTATTTCTAAATCACAAATTTCAGGTTCCTCCCCTTGAGAAGCAAGGAAGAAAATATCGGTAATATCGGAAATATCGGTAGTCCGAAAATACGGAAATATCGATGGAAATATCGGGATAATATCGATATCGATAAAAATTACAAGGAAACCACGGAAATTGTAAGAAAAACTTGGAAATTTTTATTGAAACTTTGCAGGATGTCTATTTAGTCAATTATCTATTAGTTTATCACAAAAAATTGGAAGGAAATGCATTGCATGATGGATTTAACATTATCAAGTTGATTATATAGCGAGCTGGCAAACATTATGAGTGTAGAAAATATGTAGTAATTAATGAAAGAAATTTAAACACACCATAATCATTTATATATAATGAATTAGTACAATATTTTACACTTTATACATTGCCTTTTTTTTTCTCTCGGATAACACACACGGACTGACACATGGGCTGGATATTTTGAAAGCAGGTTTGGATTTTTTTTTTCTTCTCTCGGATAACACACACACACACCCCACGATACACACTTCAATAACACACACACACGCACAGACACACACTTCAATAACACACACACACACATCCCACTTCTACACACACACACGCACAGACACACACTTCAATAACACACACACACACATCCCACTTCTACACCAGGGACCAAGCCATTTCCTTCTCTCACTCACTTCGACCCTCTCTCTCTCTTCTCTGCACTGTCTCTCTCTCTCTCTCTCAAAATCCTCTTACCTCTCTCCCTCTCTTGCCGTGACCACACACACACACAACAGCAGCACCATCTGCTCGACTCGAGCAGCTCGAGGACGACACCGTGACTCGAGCAGCACCATCTTGTCGTGACCTCCACCGTGACTCGAGCAGCACCATCTTGCCGTGACCACACATCATCAGTCTTCTCTCTCCCGCCTCTGCGAGAATGGCGGACGACACCGTGACCTCCACCGTGGCGCACACTCAGGCGAGCACCATCACCACCTGTGAGAGGCGCAGATCTTGGCAGAGAGAGACGCAGATCTTGGCAGCTGCGACGACGGAGCTCGGCTGCCGTTCCGATTCCGACGACGGAGAGAGAGAGCGATATTATCGATATTATCGATAATATCGCGATATTATCACGATAATCAATTGGAATACTCTGAAAATATCGCTATTGGAAAAAAACGATATTATCGGCGATATTTCGCTGATAATATCGATATTTAATTCCATGTTGAGAAGAAACACGGTTTACGACCTGGCATGGTAGCTCCCACAAAAATCATTGCTGGACTGGGCTTTTCTCTTGGCATTGATATCCTGGAAGCTCCTGGAGCTACCGGAGACTACCGAACACTTCTAACCTCCAAAGCAAATGCGACAGCTAAGGCACTCTTCCTTTGAAGTCTTGCCCCAATGTGTTTGTACTGGGGGAAGATAAGCACAAACCAGGCCAACCAGATGGCTATGATTTTAGGTTCCTTCACGTTAAGGTCAATGATGTTCTCAGGTTCTAGTTTTTTTTTTTTTTTTTTTTCCTACCATGCCACGACTCACATGCAATCTTACTCGATGAATGGCGGATTTTTACTTAGACCTCAAAACATTGATCAAGTAGTTCACTTTCACTAGTGGTAAATGAAATCTCTGTTTTGTTTTGCATCGCAGGCTATTGATGATGCGGGTCACGACAAGGCAACCCTCTTCAAAGTTAAAGCAATGGAAGCTGTAGATCGAGCGATAGGGCAGCTGGCCAGGCTCCTTTGGGAGGCCGAGTCAACTGGAAATTTCGAGTACTTTCTTTGCGTCACTGGAGACCACTCTACCCCAGTTGAATATGGAGACCACAGCTTTGAGCCGGTTCCATTCACAATATGTTCGTTGAAAGATTTTGTGAGCGTCAGAGGTGAGAAAACCATTTTGGGAGGCTTTCTTGATCCATTTCCTCTTGCAACTGTCAAAGATGGTGAAAATCTAACAGAAGATGTGAACAAGGGGAGAGAATCAAACAGCCTCAAGCTTTCAGCGGCGATTCAGTTTTTGAGTTTAACGAGATAGCAGCAGCAAGGGGATGATGCCTTGGGCGTCTCCCCGGTGGGGAGATGATGGGAATAATAAGGAGTATCCTGAGCTAAATGCATGAGCTGCTCTAGTCGGAAAGTTATACTTCCATATTTAGCACTAATTGTTGCCCTAATAAGGTTTATCTTAATTGGAAAATGGTTACAGTTTGGATTTCGAAAGCTCCTTGTGTTGTTTACGAAAATAAGTCACAATGAACAGTGGGGAAATGATTTTCACACTCCACTTTTCTCTCCATATGCGTTTGTTTCTGGTTTTTAAGTCTTTGGATTGAAAAAAGAGGAGAGTGGAGAAGATAGCTGTTCACAAACTAGCCGTCAGTCCTTCTATCCTAAGGTCCTCATTTTGATGACTTGGGTGGATCAAATTCATATTAGCTACAAAATTATATTAGTTTAGAGTTAAAGACTTAAAATATTTGACAACTTAATAGAGCAAAACAAGAAAATTAGTTTTCTAATAGTTCATATATTTTAATTAGTTGGTTAGGTTTTATTAAGTTGACAAATATTTTAAGTCTTTGGATCTAAACTAATATAATACAGATCTAAATTAATATAATCTTGTGAAAAATATGCATTTGGTCCTCACATGAAGATATTAGGAGAGCAAGACTCGACTAGTTGTACCTACCATTTCATTTTAAGGTCAATATCAGCAATCTATCAAATAGAAAACGAAATTGTGAAAATCATGACCCTTAGAATAAGTTGGTCCCAAAGTTTTTCCTTTTTGACTCCTTTCATCTCTGCAAGTATCGAAAGCACCAAAATTTAAAGTGAGTTGTATGAAAAATACATGTCACAAAAGAAAGTGGATTATAAAGTTTCTTTCTTTTACTTTAATTTTCTTTACTTAATATTATCAGATAATCTCTTACACACCTTCCGCTTCTTTTCTTAATTCATAAGAAAAAAAGTCGATTAAATTTGAAAACGTACACTCGAAATTCACACCCATACACAAAGATGTATGTGACAAGGCCTCTTTCCATGTACAGGAAATCGCCAAGCACCCTTTCCCTTCATCCACCCGATGCTCCACATTCAGGTTTCATGGTGATTACAGATGAAGATGCAGAAGCACACGACGCGTCTTGCTGGGGCCTATGCAAGCGCAGAAAGGTATCGAAACTGCCGTTCCCACAGGACAAGATACTGACCATCGTTTACACGTCGGAGTTCCAAGAGGCCACGAAGACTAAGGTCTGGTTCATCCCGGTTCTTGATCAGCCTCTGTCGTCTCATTGCTACTATGTCATCAAAGCAAGTGGCAGGCACAAAGGGTATGCTTCGGTTTCACAATTATATATAATTGGTTTTCCTTTTTATTTGAGTGATATACTGCGTGGGGATTGGAACTTCGGAGCAGAGAGAGCACGCTGCTCTAGCGTAGAAAATATTTGTTTGTTAAGTGGAAGATAAATTATTTTGTATGATCTTGCAGGAAAGCTTACAGATGTGCTAGAGAGAGGGACACCGTGAAGTGCTGCTTTAACGACTTCTTGGGAGACAAGAAACCAAGGGTTTTAAATTTTAGAGACATATACCAACAAGTTAAGATTCATCGCTTCGAAGGTGGTGGGTTTTTCGCAAGGGCTGTAGCTCCCGACGGCGTTCCCCCAAAATTCCTCAAGAAAAAAGGATGGAAAGTTCGCAGCTCGAGTATGTATCGTTCACAACTAGGTGAAGCTTTAGGCCTTGACGCCTCGCTCCGTTCACGTCTTCCGGACTTCAATGTTACCATCTTTCAAAAGCGCTCGCGTACTAGCACTGTGGGGAACTGGTACTGTCCATTTGTGTTTGTAAGAGAGAGAGCAACCATAAGACAGCAGATGAAGAAGTCGAAGTACTACAGAGTGACTTTTGAGCAATGGTGGGAAGAGATATACTCTTGTGGGAACGTTAACCGTGAAGGGAACGTTGTGAATGTGAGCGTAGATGTGCAAAGGGAAGTGGCTATGGTATCTGCTATGCAAGCCGTGAAGGATTGTAGGAACGGACGAACAGGGTTCACCTGGTACAAAGCCCATAACCCATACAGCAAGAAAGTGGTCAGTGTAGGTTTGAGCTCCGCAATTGTTCAGAATATGAGATGGGTTTTGGAGGCAGGAGGGTGGGTTAGTGGGGGTGATGAAATGGATGTGAGAGTAGAGAAGGCAGAAGAGATTACAAGTGCAACTCGGTGGAGGAAGTTTGGGTGTTATGTGTTGGTGGAGAGCTTCTCTTTGAAGAGAATGGATGGAAGCTTTGTTTGGAGATCCGATTTTAGGCACACCGATAAGATTCGATGTAAATGGGAATAAGGTTTCGATTAAGATTCTTAATGAAAAAAAAAAGGGTGGATCCTCATATGTATTCTCTTTACTGTTCATCTGTCTGTAGCAACAGTGTATCGATCCTCGCATGTATTCTCTTTACGGTTCATATGAAGGATGTAAATTTCCAATGCTATGAAGTACGAAGTTATGAAATTTTCAAAATCAAGAATAGAATTTGTCATACATTCCATAACCGCGACGAATTACACAAGTTTTAGAAAATTATAACAAACTCAAATCACAGTGCGCATATCAAACTCAGACGAAATAATATTCAAATAGCAAGGTTTCCAAAGGTAGATGGAATTGTGGAGAGACTTGGACGCAGCAGCTTAGAAACCATGAATCTTGATATGGTCCTGCACAATGCCAGCCTGTAGTACTTGAAACGACCAACCAAGCAGATCGATAATCTTATCATTCTAACCTATATAACGTTTAACATCAATGTTATGTGGAGGAGTGACTACCTGGACTAGGAAGGTAGATACATTCTTTTGTTTATCACGGTTGTCAGGCTTTTTCTACCGTTTCTTTGCTGTATACGAATGTGTACATACTCTTCTGTCCCAGCACCAGAATCCTCAGAATTTGCCTCAGCAAAAGGATCTAAAACAGGTATAGTGAATAAATCAGATGTGAAACCCCACCCCCAAAAGTTTAATGTAATTTCACAGTTACCCTAAAAGTATATGAAAGTTACATTTTAGTCCCCTATCCTTAACCAATCAGGACCCTCCCTTTTAGATTCTCCTTCCCTCTCAGCATGCCACGTGGTAAACCCTCAACTCTCCCTTCCACTTCTTCTCTCTTTCCCCTCCCTCGAGTCTCTCTCTTAGCTTAGTACCCTCTCCCTCTCACAGATCTCTCTCTTGCCCTGATCTCTACACTCACACGCACCCATCTACATACCCACATCGCCAGTGACGAACCACCATCACCAGCATTGACGTGTGGGCTCTCTCTCACTCTCCCTAGCCTATGTGAAGCTCGACAAAACAAAGAACTAGCTCCGGCGAACCCCGTGAGCTTCAAGCTAGATTCCGGCCGCCTCCGACCCTTTCACAGCGAACTGAAGGTAACCAACTTTTCCCTCTCACCTCTACCTTCAATTTCGTAAGTAGATTGCAGGTTAAGGTGACCAAACAACGGCGAACGAAGCTCGGGAAGCTCCGGCCTTCTTCCTCGACGAGAAACAGGTCGAGTGACCCAAGCCCGTTGAACCTAGGCCCTTTGGGCCAAGTAGAACTAGGGCCTCAAGCCCGTTAAGCCCAACCCACCTATTTTATTTATTTATTTATTTATATTTATTTGTTTTCTATTAAAAACCCAAAATGACCAAGGCCTTTGGGCCGAGAAACCTAGGGCCCTTAGCCCGCTAAACCCCAAAACCCCAAACCCTTTGTATTAGGCCTTCGGGCCGTGTGGAACGTGGGCTCTAAGCCCAAAACCCAAAACCCTTTTGCTTTGGGCAGGGCTTTCAAGCCCAGGCCCTTTGACCCAAAACCCTTGGACCCTAGGTCTTTGGGCCTTAGAACCCAAGCCCAAAGCTCAGGCCTAACTCGAATCCAACCCAAGCCTATACCCGGTTCACCGACCCAGACCCATTGACTTTGGTCAATGCTGACTGTTGACTTTGGTTAACATTGATCGTTGCCTTTGACCGTTGGCTTTTCGTTGACTTTTTCTGGTTTCGTTCGAGATCCCTTATTGGCTAATTTTGATGTCTTAGATCCGTTTTTGACGTCTGTTTTCCCAAATTCAATCGTTTGAATAGAATTTTATTAATTGGACCCTTTATGTGCTTAGGAGCAATTATTTGTGGCATTTTCGTCTTCGCTAGTTACGTAGCTCTTCGGCGGCAAAGTATCTGTGAGTGGACCCCCTTTCTAAAATGCATGTTTTAATAGTATAAATGCATACATGAAAATCATGATTTTAATGATTACATTTTATGAAATGTTTTATGAGATATTATGCTTATTGAGAATATTTTGAATTACCATATTTTATCGAACTTATGTTCTTTGTAGCATATATGATGGATGACTATATATTATTTATGAATATGTTTTCTTTACACTTCTTTGTAGTATATATGATTGATGACTATATGCTATGAAGATGATTTTTAGATATATGTACTTATATATGGAAAGATTATATTCAATGGTTTTGTGTGTATCTAGTGATCACATATTGACCTTCGGGCAGAGTGCTGTAGGAGCCTTTGGGCGATGATACTTATATTGACTTTCGGGTCTGTAGGAGCCTACGGGCGATTGATACTTGTGAATGAAGTGTTCTAAAGGAAGAGTTCTATATGCCTTTGGGTGATACGGATACCACTAGTTAGCACACTATATACGACATATGTTTTTATGAAGGTTTTTATGGCATGCTAGGGTTTTTGGAAAACCTATTACATATTATGCTATTAGTTTTCATAAAACTGTAGGGGTTAGTATGTTGATAACTGTTTCAATTATATATATATATATATATATCAACTTGGTCTACTCATGTTTGTTTTACGCCCCTCAGGACTTAGAATCGAGGCGTACAATTCGATGTCAAGGCATTTCCGCATCAGCACCTTCGAGTTCTCTCGGTGTAGGACCCATTCTTTTATCCATTCAATTTTATATTATTTCTTTTCTAGTGTATAGAATTAGTTGTATGTTCTGAACACGTTCCTTAATTGCATATTAATTATATTTAAATTTATAAGTCTTATTTATTTCTTGTCCTCATGCATTCTAATATGGCTTCGTCACCTACAGGTGTCGGCCAGCACGTGCCTACCTTGATGTTTGGGGGAATATCAAGGTCGGGCGTGTCATCAGACACCTGATGACCTCACCAAACCAAATATTTAGTTTCTCAAAAGTACCAACTTATGTCAGTTTGGTTTGGTTTCTTTGGCGGATCATGCTAGTTGGGCTGCTGAACAGCCCTTGTTGACTAGGGCATTAATTCAGATAAAAACCAATGCATCCACACCAGCATGTCAATCGCCATTTCATAGTGCAAAAACCAGAAAACTTAACCGGTGTCCAGCATGTTCACAAAAATGATAACAAACCAAACTATTTAGTGTCACAAAACAACGAACTTCGTGTCAGTTTGGCTTGGTTTCTTAAAGTGGATGGGATACTTATACAACGAAAAGGTAAACATTCAGAAGGGCAAAAGGGCGAAGGCAATATGAATTTGTAGTCGAGCTCAAACATGAACCTTGGCTGGCTGTTCACTAAGAGCAGCTCTAGCGTATACTGGTGCCCGAGGGATAGGCGAGTGAACAGGGCTAGAGAGCCCGAGCAATCAAGTCTAATGTGTGCTGGCAAGGGAGCCCGAGCAGGCCCGAGCGAGAGGCCGGTAGAGAGTTGCCAGTCCAAGAGCCTGGAGTGGGTTTGATGCAAGGCTGACGTCGCCCTGACGTCAGCCACGTTTTTTCTTCTGTTTTGCCTCGACGTCCGTTGGATCTCAACCTACAAACTTGCTGGAGTTTGATCCAAGGATGTGACCAAAAATTGGGCAAGGTTTTAGAGAAATTGCAGGGGGTTAAACATCTGGTTTCGAACTGGAAAAACACCACAAATCTTGTCCCAAGAAACATTAAGACATAATGAAACAAGATTTGCATAGAGAACCTCACTTTGGTTTGAGTTTCAGATCTTGGAGCTCTCGGCTTCAATGGTGGTTTACACCGTGATGGTCCGATGACGCATGCAACGGTATAGCAAGGATCCTTTAGTCCCAGAGATTAAGGTTTCATGGTTTTGGAGTTTGATTTGTTTAATTTTCGAAGAGGAAAGTGGGTGAGAGCTCTCGAAGCTCTAGAGAAAGAGAAAGTGTAAAGAGAGAGAAAGAGAGAGAAAGAGAGAGAGAGAGAGAGAGAGGAACTTCAGAGAAAAATGGAGAGAAGTGAGAAAGATTAGTGGAAAGAGAGGGAGTGACGTGAGGGAGTGGAGAGGTGCACTGGAAATTCCAAGCAATTGCAAAAAATATTTTTATTTTATTTACCTGTTGCCAGGGCTATTCAAGTGTAGGGGTGGAGATTCAAAATGTAATTATTGTTCATTAAGGGCAATTACTGTTCACTAGGTAGATTAAATAGTGGATAGCCCGGGGGGGGCCTTTCCCACGGTAGAACTGCTCTAAGAAGGCCTTCCAACCAGAATTCTTATACCTGGATCACACAGAAGGCAAATCTCAAATTATCATCCCTCGCAAAAATACCTCAAACTTTTCTCAATATATGTATCCGGATCTGATCAAACTAGACGAGAATTAAAACTTTAGAAGTCTTCCAGTATTGTTTTCAATAAAGTAGCAGACTTGATCAACGTTGCCAAGTATAATTTAAAATTAATCTAACTTATGAAGACGGAAATTCGATGTTTAAGTGCAAGGGGCGAGATAGCGTGCAGTTTGGTATTGTTTTTTCACCAAAGGCTGCTTAAACAATAAAAAAATGAGATGAAAGTTAAATATCATGCTTATTTTAAAGCAATAGCCTCCAGACAATAGTTTTAAAAGTAGCATGTATGTTGCTTTTTAAGCCTGTTTTAATAAAAAGCAGAGTTGAGTCTTTAATGAATATTTTTAATTCCTATAATACGTTCATTATTATTATTATTATTATTATTATAAACAATATTATCTACCTATGGGAAGAGGGGTTGTCTTAGCCTCACAATGGGGTAGCAATAATATGGTTAAAATTCGGCTTTGGTATGAATCGAACCTACGAGCTCTCACCTACAAGTGAAAAGGAATATCACTAGACTGTAATACTAAGTAGCCATTATGGGCACATTTTATCCTTGGAGAAGAAAATGACCACCACCACCTATCATTACAAACCCTAACCTCTTACACCACAACCATAGCCACCATCGCCATTGTCGCCTCCCCTACCACCATTGTCACCTCTTTAGCCCAACCACCACACCTCTTTATTGGCACAACCACCGTTGTCGTTATCATCGCCTATAGTATCATGTCCACATCATTATACACAATTATATCACTTTTATATTAAATGTACCAAACGCTTTTACACCGCTTTTCATACTTACAACACTTTCAAAAATACAATTTATCAAACGCTCAACTACTTCATTTTGCAACTGATTATTCTTGAAGCACATCATAAACAATTTTTAGTAAAAACACAACAATCCCAAACTGACTCTTAGTCAATGGCCTACTCCACATTTGGCCGAGAACTAAAATTTTATATAGGGTGATGATATTCGCACACCTTTTTTTACCTCCCACCCATCTTTATTAATTTTTGTGCATTGCTCTTCTTCTATTCATTCGATCTGACTGCCAAAAAGAAGTAAAAATGGATACGTGAGTGACACACACTTTATATATAGTTGGAATCATTTGAAGCCCATTGGACTATGGTCTTACAATTTTGGGATGAATAATTGGGCCCTTCAACTTAGGGCAGGCTTTTTATTTTGTTTTATTTTAATTTTTTGTTGGTCAAGCATCCGGAAAAAAAATTGCAAAGGAGTTCTCATCTTCTTCTTTTCTTTCTTTTCTTTCTGTCATTGCTTTCGTAAAACCAAACATCCCTCTCTACTCTCTCACTAGGGCAGAGCACGAAAAGCACTTTAAATTTCGCCACAGAAGACCAAGTTTTCTGTCAACCATTGATCAAGTAAGTATCACTTTCCCACTGGTCTGCATTTCTTTCCCCAGATTTTCTCGGAAACCAAACACTTTTAGGTCTGATTCAGAAACTAAACTTTGGGCGTGACATTGAACTGATTCGAAATCAAAATCGAAAACGGAAAGAAACCCAATTTGCAACCCAAATTTATAAATTCAAAGCAATCTGTTTGTGATTCTCATTGTGTGGTTTTGATTGTGCAGAAAAAGTTGGTGTATTGTTAGGGAAGTTAGGGTGAATTGGGGAAAAAAATGGGAAGCAAAGGTCGAATCCCGCCTTCTCACATGCGTCGGCCGCTTCCTGGACCCGACCCGTTTGGCCCGGGCATACGGCCGCCCCATGGCGCCTATCCTCCGTTTGATATGTTGCCTCCTCCACAAGTTATGGAGCAGAAGCTGGCTGCACAGCATGTGGAGATGCAGAGGCTTGTGGTGGAGAATCAGAGGCTCGCCGCCACCCACGGAAGCCTGAGGCAGGAGCTGGCGGGTGCCCAACATGAGTTGCAGATATTACATGCCCAGATAGGAGCTATCAAGTCTGAGAGAGAACAGCAGATGAGGAGCCTTGTGGATAGTATAGCCAAGATGGAAGCTGACCTAAAGTCAGCCGAGCCTGTTAAGGCGGAGCTACAGAAGGCTCGAGCCGAGGCCCAGAGCTTGGTTGTTTCAAGGCAAGAACTGATTGCCAAAGTGCAACAACTCGGGCAGGATCTTCAGAGGGCTCATGCGGATGTACAGCAGATTCCAGCTTTAGTTGCACAGCTTGATGGACTGAGGCAGGAATATCAGCTCTGCAGGTTCGTGCTTATGTTCTATTTTTTTCATAACTTCAAACTATATTGCTTATTGTGTATTTTCAGTTATGAAAAACCGACCGTCATTTTCTGTTGGTTTGGATTGTGCAGGGATACATATGACTATGAAAAGAGATTATACAGCAACCACCTTGAATCACTTCAGTGCATGGAGAAGAACTATGTTACCATGGCTAGGGAGGTGGAAAAGCTCCGAGCAGAGTTACTGAATAATTCTAATGTTGATCGGAGAACTGGTAAATCTACTTCCTTTTGTATTCAAGGTCATTTGGATACCCTTGCTTATTGTTTACCTTGATCTTTAAATACATTGTGGATGGCTTATCTTTGGCAATGAAATGTAGGTGCCACATATTATGGAACCCCGGGAAATAATGAGAACGAGGCTATTGGGCAGGCTTTAGGACAAAATGGTTTTGAAGATAGCTATGGTGTTCAACAGGTATGCCATCTTCCACATCTTGACTTTTGTTAGCTTTTCATCTTATTCTTTTCCTTTTCTCCTTCAAATTCTAGATTATGGTACCGTGCCGGGTTGTCGAAGTCCCGGTTGTTTCAGCTGGGATTGGCTGATTGCAATAGTATAGTGTGCTTTGGTGACATCATTGTCTTATTTGTCCACACAATTTAACTCAAGACTATTTTCTTGAATACTTATAAAAATAGTTAATCATTGTCAATAACACTGAAGCCCTTCTAAAAATACTTCAAGGTCGGTTTTTCATTTTCTGAATCATTGGTGGATGCGAGAATTGTTACAGGGGTCATTGAAAATCTTTTATTTGTGCTTGCATTTTCCACTAAAGGTGTTCCTGGCCAGAGAGTAAATTAAAGTTAAATGTATCTGTAGATTACAGGAAAAGAATATGTTGGTAGGTGACAATCATACTGTGTTTTACCACTCCCTTACTATTGGAACACTAAGACAACTTCAAATTAGTCACAAAAACCAAATATAAAAATTCAGTTCTGTACATCCATTGCCTTAGCTATCTCAAAGCCAAACTGATAAATTTTGGTTTGGAATCTTCGGTTGCACATAACATGAGTAAAATTAGTAGATCATAAAAATGATCAAGAAGGTATGGCCTATAAGACGTTGAGTATTGCTGCTGATAAACTCTTAGAAGTTGTGCTGTCCTGCTAAAAATGTTTTGTTTTCAGTTGAAAAATAATTTCCTCACTGCCTCTAGAGCGATGATAGATAATGAAAACTTATGCACTGTTACACTGTATTCTGTATAGCAGGGACGTGCCACCTTCCCTCCTGCTACGGCTGCGGCTGTTGCCGGCGCTGGCGGTGCTGCCACCGCCAAGACCCCTCCATTAGTTGGAGCTCAATCTGGACCTCCTGGAAGGACTGTTTATGACGCACCGAGGGGGCCTGGTTATGATCCTTCGGGTGGACCTGCTCATGATGCACAGAGAGGACCTGCTTATGATCCACAAAGAGGACCTGCTTATGATCCACAGAGAGGACCTGCTTATGACGCACAGAGACCTGGATATGATATACAGAGATCGGGTTATGAAGTGCAAAGAGTGCCTGGTTATGATCCAACCCGGGGTGTCAACTATGATGCACAGTCTAGAGCTGCTGCTGGCGGTCCTCAAGGACATGTGCCCACAGGCAATGTGCCTTATGGTTCTGCAACACCACCTACTCGCGGGGGAACTGGATATGAGGCACCACCACCTCGAGGACCGGGAGGGGGAAACCCTGTTCGAAGATGAGCTCAAGTCGTCGAACCAAAAGATTATCGCAGAAATAGTGTAGTAGTTAGGATGTCCGAAATTTGTCAAAATTTCCTCTGAATCTCCAATCATCTGCTACCTTGAATAACATGTTTTTTTTGGGGCCATTCTGGTCTTCCGCTACTTTCTTCGATTTTTGTATATGGTTGGGAAAAATATTCTGTTACTACTTGTGATACAGGCAACCGGACACGGTTTGTAATTGATATTCAAATGAGAAGAAAATTGTTAGCAGTCCAAGTCCTTCCAGTTTCCACAATTAAATTGGACAGAGAAGAAGGAGAATCTTGTGAGTCATCCTAACCAAGCCAATCCTGTGACAACAAACGGGCCCTAGACTAGACGTTCTATATTAGCATATAGATGGATAACTAAATAGAAAATCTAAAAGCAATTTATTTATGGTTTTTTATCCAACATGGTCGGTGGAGATTAACATAATTTCTTACTTTTATTCCGACAATGAAAATTGGTGGAAGTGGTTCCTGAGTTTGTCTACTATAAATCATTTTGGTTCTTTCCTAAAAAATCTGTCAATATCTTCGTTAAATTGTCACATGAACGACCACGTAACCCCTTTTTAAGGGGTATTTTTGTCAAACCAACCTCTCCACTTAACAAAGATATTAATAGATTTTTCACAAATTGATCAAATTGATCTACGGTGAATAAATACAGAAACCACTTCTATCGATTTTTATTATCAGGAACCAAATTGAACACCAATCTTATAAACCCTTTTAGCTAAAAACCTTTATTATATATTCCCCCTCATTTCTTCCTCACATGCTCATAGCCCATCTTAAGGAAAATTAATGAAAATAACTTGAAAATTTTGAGTTTTAACGATAAGGACAAAATAAAGGGTAAAGTGAATAGTACTATGATTGACTTTTTAGTGTAAAAATATAGTTTTTCGTTAAAGTAAATAGTACTAGGAATTTTTCGTTAAAGTTCCCTATATATACATTTATATATGTTCCAACTACAGAAATTTGGAAACCAAAAACACAAAATTTGATCAAACATTTTCCGGAGTGTGACGTTTCTTTCCCTCAGTTCCTGTTTTATTTTATCACTTTTATGATCCATATTGATTTGTGGTCCAATGATTCATTCATTCACCAATCAGAAAAAGAAGAAGAAAAACAAAACTTTTCGGAACCTTTTTTCTGTGTAATATGTGGACAACGTTAGTGGGAAAATAACGTGGAGTTGCTTTTCAGAAAATAATAATGTTCGGCGCCATTGAAACGTACAATGCATGCATATGATGTCCACCATCAAATTAAATTCTTCTGCAAACAATTTGCCACGCCAAGACGAAACGACTTCACTTTCGGTCTCTTGTCTTCTATCCTTCGTCTCATTCTATAACCAATATCCATATGTTGTGTTCTTCTTAATCTTAATCACTTGTATTATTATTAGACTAGCAGGTTATATATGGAGAAAGAGACATGTGGTCAAATATCTTAGTGAATTTGGTATTGAGTTTTCATCCATGTGTCTCAGCAGGTTCAAAACTCCTCTTTGTAATAGTTTTGACCCCTTCCCTCTCCCCTTGATAATAACATATATGTAGAAAAGAGAATGAACAAATTATACCAAACTTTACCAAACACTAAAGCTTTTTATCATGTGGCTCCATGTTGGAGATGATGTAAATAATAACATGGGATTTCTTCCACATTGTGTTGTGTACTTATAATCATATAGTGGGTTGTAGAAGAAGATGCACAAAATGCATGAGGATTAAAAAAGGTCATACAAAATGCATGGAAAGAAATTGCTCAATTTTAACTACCTTTCATACATTATCCCACAATTGAAATTGATAGTGGATACATTAAAAACCATGCTAATTTTCACATGAATTCTTACTTTTATTTTTTATTTTTTTTCGTCTTTGTGCTTTTGGGGATTTAGTAAAATACCAGCAGACCTAAATCTAACCAAGTTGGCTAGTGTATTCTTGCTTCATCCATTATGCACTTTTTCAAAATGTTAATTCACGTTCAATGATTGTTACTAAATCCATGAAATGAGAAGGAAAGAAAAACTAAATTGGCAATTTACCCACTAGAAATATAATTGGTCTACTAACATGATTTTACTATCTATAATCACTAAAGAAAACTCACAAGGTTCATCAAAGAGTGGAATATGGATGCATAATGCTTTAGTTGCTTGTGTACATAAAAAGGAAAAGAAAAAATGGTGGGATATTAATACTCTCTAAAGGTTGTAATCTTGGAAGAATTCGCACCTCGTATTCTTGATATGCATGGCAATGTTCTAGATATGGTTGTGAGAGACTGTTTGTGTCTCTGTATGCGTGTGTGTGTGTGTGTGTGTGTGTGTGTGAGAGAGAGAGAGAGAGAGAGAGAGAGAGGACAAATTATCCAAAACAAGTAGAGAAGACCCCCAATGATCCTCTTTTATTCTATTACATGAGGAGGGTAAATTACTCAAAACAAGAGAGAATTAAAGTATATTACCTTTGGTTTTTCTATTACATACAATTAATACATACAATCAAAAAGCAAAAGTTTTGGACTTGGAAGAATCTGAGACCTTCAAAGTCTTTTCAATGAGCTTTCTGGCCTTCTTGCTCCTTATTTCAACTCTCATGCTCTCACTCTTTTCAATCTTGTCGTAAGGTTTCTTACTCACCTTTAAAGACCTCAACTTGGATTTCAAGTTCACCACCAACCTATCCAGTCCCAACATCATCACGTCTCCACTGAAGCTGCAGATTTCAAACCCAATTCAAGCTAGAACCCAGCAAAAGGAATCGAAATCCGAGACGGAGAAAGTAACATAACCTGTCTTGTGGCAAAGGAAAATCTTGAAAGGCTGAGACTTGAGAGTGAAAATTTAAAGAAAAGTTTGAGGCCTTGGATAGAGTTAGAGAGACATAGCTACCAAAGAGAGGAGTTGATGAAGAAGAGAGTCTCTGGAAGTAACAAGGTGAGAGAGATAATACGAATGAATTAAACGTACGGTTGGAAGTCACACAATGTAAGCGTTTATAGAGAACTTGGTAGGCTTACCCCGCAATACTTATGAGCCTTATACGCTTATAACTCCCCCTTCTGACTTCTGTCTAATTACAAGTGGTTTCGTCATGTCAGTCCACCCTTTTGAGGGGAAGGCTCACAAAAGCATTTCAGCTTCATATTGACCACTTTTTGGATAACATCTTAGTAGGTATGGAAAAAATTATTATGCGGTACTTAAATACATATCACGTAGTATAATCTGTTTATATATACAACTGGTTGTATACAACTATATATTTCTTATGGGTAAATTACATAGTAGCCCATCAGGTTTGAGGTCTATTACAACCCCATACAACAACTTTAAAACATTTCACTTTAATACCTCAAGTACTATTTTATTTCAATATCATACATCCGTTAGATTTTCCATCAATTAATCTGTTAAATACTGACGTGGCTGCCACATTTGTGCCATGTGGCTGCCAACTGTGTGCCACGTGGCAATTTTTTTTTTATTTCTAAAAATATTATAATAATTTACCCTAAAAAAAAAAAAAAAAAACTCAAACCCATAACCCATCTTCCCCCCGACCCACTCCCTCCCCCGCAACCCCCCTTCATTCTCCTCCGTCTTCACTTCTCCGTTTCTCCCTTAATTCCCAACCACGCAACTCCTCTGGCTTTCCTGGCGTTGCTCCAACCTATCTTCCCCCACCCATCTTCTCCCTCCGAGCCTCCCAACTTTGACCTTACCATCGTCGGCGGCGACAGCAGCAACTAGCTTGCCCGAGTGGTCTCCATCAGCGATTGGGAACATCGGAGTTCTCAATCTTAAAAACCCATATCAGAGTTCTCTCCATTTTCCATCTTAAATTCCTTTTTTTTTTTAAGTTGAACCATTTCAAACCCCCAAGCCCTTGAATCGAAGAGCCCGTCGAGGAGGAGGAAATGGAAACCCAAATCTCTGCAGCAACGCTCACCCTTATTATCGCTGGAAACCGAAACCGTGAAGCTCCTAATTCAAGAGACCCTGAATGCGACGCAGCCGCATTGAAATCTAAAGATTTTGACGGCGAGGTCAGATTTCGGAGGCTTCGAACAAGGTGATGTGGAGGGAGAGGGAGGTGAGGTAGTCGGAGAGGTCGGAGGAGTGTGAGCGTGAGGAGGAAGGCGCCAACAGAGTTGCATTGTGTGGGTTTTGGATCTGGAGATTTTGGGGGGGTTTGGGGTTCGAGAGAGATAGTGAGGAGAGTGGAGGAGGATCGGGGGAATGGGTTGCTAGGTTTTAGATATATTTTTTTTAAGGGTAAATTATTATAATATTTTTTAAAATTAAAAAATTATTTTTTTTACCACGTGACACAAATGTGGCAGCCACGTCAACATTTAACGGATTAATGGATGAAAAATCTAACGGATGTATTATATTGAAATAAAATAGTACTTGAGGTATGAAAGTGAAATGTTTTAAAGTTGTTGTATGGGGTTGTAATAGACCTCAAAACCTGAGGGGCTACGGTGTAATTTACCCATTTCTTATTGCTATACAATTGATGATACATAAATTCTTTTCCACTTTTCAGGTGGTATTTAAATATGTTGACTTGGTTTTTATATTTATTTTTGTCAAACGATAGATTATGATAGATTATATGTTAAATTAATCATCGACGGAGTTCAAACCAACACTGTCATGCAAGGACTCAACACCTTTCCATCGCTGTGGTAAATGGCCATTTGCGTTGACTTGGTTTTTATTGTTTATCTCATTTTTGGGACGTTTAAGTAATTTAAGTGGATTCTTTTAATTTTGAGGTTGCATTTAGTATGCGGGAAATAAAGCATGGGATGGGAAATCACTTTCATTCCCATGTTTACTGAATCAGGCTGGGGAAAAATTGTAATAAATGCCGGAAAATGAGGTGGGAAAATGAAACCCATTATAAAGGATCTGCATTTCCACCTTCTTTTCCCATCATTTATTGCAAATTTTTAAAATTGAATAAACGTGATATAAGTTAAATTTTGTGAGTCATTATTTGGTTTAGTTCACTTTGGTGGTTCATTCACTGATTATCCACAACAGTTTTTTTATTATCTTTTATTAAATTGTGATAAATGTCATCCCTTATTTATAGGTTTATTTTTCTCAATTTTTGGATTAAATATAACTTCGATGGTGCATGGGATGAACTCGAAGGCTTCGTCAAAATATCCAGACTCATTTTG